TATGTTGCCGACCTGCTATAAAGAAAGAATTTTGGCAGCTGCTCATGATGATCCTATGGGGGGACATCAAGGTATTAATATTACGTATCACAAAATTTTAAAGTATTTTTTCTGGCCCAAGCTGAAAAGCGATGTGGCAAAATTTTGTAATGCGTGTATTGTTTGTCAACTGGTTGGGAAACCAAACCAGACTCCACCTAAAGCTCCTCTAAGGCCTATTGTCGTGCCAAAGCAACCATTTTCTCATGTGGTAATGGACTGTGTTGGACCATTACCTAGAACTAAGTCTGGTAATATTTACCTAATCACGATGATGTGTATCACTACTTGTTACCCAGAGGCTTTTGCTGTAAGGAACATCCGAGCAAAAACTGTTGTTGCTCATATGTTGCAATTTTTTTCCACTTTTGGACTGCCTCGGGTCATGCAAACTGACAATGGTACTAACTTTAAGTTTGATATTTTTGAGCAATTTTGTAAGGACCATGGAATAACTCATAAGGTTTCGAGCCCATACCATCCACAGAGTCAGGGGGTAATTGAACGTTTCCATCTAGTGATTGCTTGTAGTTGGTCGTGTGCCCAGCGACAGTAGCAATGTTTATTTATAAGTTAGACATGTGTTAATAAGGCAGAAAGCCTGAAATAAGAGAGTGAAGAGGGAGGAACACGGAGCGACGTCCGTCCTCTCTGAGCTCTGACAGACGACTGAGGGAGCCCGGCTCCTGACGGAGGAAGACCCTCCCAGCGAGTGAGGACCGCCGCCAGGCGAGGTGGAGTATGGACCCGCCCAAAACGGGGAGTCCACTCTCACTGTATGTAGAGGACAGATAGAGGTTGGAGACAAACATATTGTGTGATTATTTTTGTTTATGTGTTAAAGGGGAAACATTTTATTGGAGTGTCGATGGGTTGCAGGTTTGTCTTTGGGGAGAAGTTGCTGAGAACTTCGAAGCCAGCCTAGATGAGGTAATTGATGAGACTCCAAGGTAGTGAAGCAGAGGACCTCGAGCTGTGAGGAGAAGCAGTGAAGAGGAGTGTCACGTGCTTCTGTAGAGGTGGTGTAGCAGCCAAGAGAGCTGTGGAGGAACCTAGCAGAAGGGTAAAGCACCGTAGTTGCTCAAGGAAACTTCATGGTAGCAGCTTGGAGGAGCTGCAGAGGATCCCGGTAGTGAAGCCCGGAAGAACCTGAAGATATCAGGGTAGCGAACTTCCAGAAGTGGAAGGGAAGTTCTGGTGGATTACTTATAGGGAGTTGATAGTGTTTGGTTGTCATTAGCGTGCAAGACGCAGTGAGAGGTGAGTGACTGTTTGCATTCTTATGTCAAGGAGTGTTTTGTACTGAAGTTTAGAGTTACAGTCGTAGGCTGGATTACCTACAGATGTATGCGTTCTAGGACTGACAGTGATCGATTGATCATTGTTGTGTATCAATGAACATTTATACTGATATATGTTATTGCATTCAAATGCTGATTTTCTATATATATATTATCTTGCTGATGGTGCAACAGTGTATGTAGACTTGATCAACTTGAGGAGGTTGATAGTATCAACTCTGAAGCAGATGTTGAAGACATCGTGCGAGAGTTCCCTCACCTTCTGGGATGAGAATTTACCGTATGTTTTGTTTGCGGCTAGAGAGGGATTACAAAGTCCACTGGGTTGTTCTCCTTTTGAGCTAGTCTTTGGCCATAAAGTTCGTGGACCCTTGCAAATGTTACAGGAGAATCTGTTAGGGAACGTAACGTTAACCGAAGGTTCGGCTTTCTTTGCGCAACACCACCAGAGACTCAAGGACTCAAGGCAGCGGCACTAAAGTATCTTGGGAAGGCCCAAGAAAAGATGAAAGAACGTAATGATGCTAAATCTAAGTTGCGGGTATTTCAGCCTGGCGACCCTGTCCTGGTATTAAAGCCTCGACTAGGGAACACTATGTCCCACAAGTACGAAGGCCCCTACATTGTGACAGAAAAAACTGGGGACCTCACGTACAAAGTGAGGCACTCTGACAAGCGTAACCAGGTAATGCTCGTACATGTAAATCGGCTGAAGAAGTTCCAGGGCCCCAGGCCCATTGCACTATCCAATGTTTCCATTTCCAGTGAGGGAGGGGATGATTGTTCTGGTGACCCAACTAATCTCATTCTCAATAATTCTAGTTCTGTGAATGCTGTGGAGGAGGGACTATCCCATTTGCAGATGGCCCAACGTGAAGAGGTGCAGTCGTTGGTCGATGAATTCTCCAGTCTGTTCGGGGAGGTCCCGACCTAGACTGATGCCATTTGCCATGATGTCAAATTGACGGACTACACCCCCATTCGGCTTCAACCCTATCGGATGAGTCCAGAAAAGAAGGCCATCGTACGGAAGGAGGTCGACTTCTTGCTCCAGCACGGCCGAGCCAGGGCTCTTGGTGCTCGCCCTGCCTTTTGGTCCCCAAACCAGACAGCTCCTGGCGATTATGCACCGACTATCGGCAGCTCAACAAGGTGACCATTGTGGATGCCTATCCGCTGCCCCTCCTCGAGGACTGCATCGACGAGCTGGGAAACGCCAAGTACGTCTCGAAATTCGACCTCTCGAGGGGGTATTATCAAATCCCACTCACTGAACGTGTTAAACAACTAAATGCGTTCATGACACCCGAGGGGGTTTTTGAGTATCAAGTGTTAACGTTCGGCTTGCGTAATGCCCCTGACACGTTCCAGAGACTCATGAACTCTTTGCTCGCTAATGTGCCAAATTGTCGGGCATATTTAGATGATATCGTGCTCTTTGACAGTAATTGGGCTGACCACATAGCTACGTTACGCCAGTTGTTCGCAATCTTGAAAAAGGCAAATCTTACCTTAAATGCAAAAAAGTGTCATTTTGGCCCAGGGACAGTGACATACCTCAGTTATGAAGTGGGCCAAGGAAAAGTGTTACCTTGGCAAGATAAAATCAGTGCCATTCTGGAGTATCCGGTGCTAAAGTCTAAAAAGGACGACGTTCAAAGATTTATCAGTATGTGTGCGTACTATCGACGCTTTTGTCAGAACTTTTCCAGTGTTGCCACTCCTCTCACAGACTTGTTGCGGAAGGCCGTCAAATTTAAGTGGTCATCAGACTGTGCAGAGGCATTTAAAAATTTGAAATTGATCTTAGCTTCTGCCCCAGTGCTTGCTAGTCCAAGGTACGACCGACCGTTTAAAATTCATGTTGACGCGTCTGACTCGGGTGCTGGTGCAGTGTTGTTGCAAACTGGGGATGATCAGGTGGAATACCCAGTATATTATTACTCTGTGAAATTTGACAAGGCACAACGCAATTATTCAGTGGTAGAAAAAGAGGCGTTGGCGCTAGTGTTAACATGTAAAAAGTTCAAAGTTTACCACACAGGTAATATAGTGGAAGTGTACACGGACCATAACCCACTGGTCTTCCTCACTCAGATGAAGGGGAAGAATAAACGCATCCTCAGGTGGGCGTTGTACCTACAGGACTTCAATCTTTCCATTACCCACCTACCGGGCAGGCTCAACGTAATAGCCGACGCTCTGTCCCGGTTGCCTGAATAACAGTCATCTGAGCCACAGGAAGCCATTTACCAACTGTCATGCTTTAGTTATTTTTTTTTAGGTTCTCCTGTGACATTAAATATTCCGTGTCCAAATTATTTACTTCCCTGTTTTTTTTTTGTGTATGTGTTTTTGTTGTTTTTTTCAGAGAATTCCTTTGTACTTTTCTTGCAGAGAAATTGTTGGTTTTGATTTTTTTTGTCCTAGATTTTCCTTTTTATTCTCTGTATACTCTTACAAAAAAAATATGACTACTATTCTAGTAGTCACATTTTTTTTTCTCTGAAAGGGGGGAGGAGTGTTACGACCCTGGGTTCTTCAGTGGAAACCAGAGGTCAAAATTGAGTTATTAAACTTTCCTATAGTATAGTTGAACGCATCACGAGCTGAAATTATTTGTATCTTCCCTGCCAGACGTAAGACTATTCCTGTTTCTCAAAGAGCATTTAAAAACTGAGCTGGGGGTTGATTATTAAATAATAACATAGGCACCAACTATGTTTACTAAAACTTTCTAATCACTTGTAAAGTAAACCTGAGTAAACTTGGTATAGGGCCGCGGTACGATTAGCTGAGCAGTCTGCCGGCAGCGAGCCAGCTGGGCGGGAAGGAGACTGAGACTCGATCTTCTTCTGGCTGGCATTCGTGGGGACTAGACCTACTCTGTGGCTGCACCCCTACTCTCCTCCCTTCTCCTCTTACTTATTTCCCTTACCTCAAGTTCCTGTACCATTAAGTTAAGGACGGTGTTTTAAGTGTGCCTACTCTGGTAGTAACGATTGGTGAGACCTGGGGGTAGTATTTGCCAGTGTTTTGGGTACCCCTAAGTGTTGTGTTTTGTATTAGGGTACCACGTGGTCTCACTACCCTAAGCTGCATCCAGCTTCAGTGCTTATCCAGTAGTACTTTACCCTAGCTTGTTCTTAGTGTAAACCTTGTATCCTGCTTATGTTAACCAAGGCTTTTAACGTAAGATAGTGTGGTAAAGTAATTATTATTATTGTTATTGGTGTGAGTGTATATGGGGGTTGTTAAGGGGTTAATAAATAAGTAAATTAGAACAGAGTATCCCTTCTTCCTGTGTGGGAGTGCATTGATCAACCCTTAGACTGACTTAGTCTAGTAGCAAGTTATTATTACTGTGGATAGTTCATTTTGGGGGCCGGGCCTTTTACCTCTCCCATATTTGATAACTGTTTTCTAGCTACCCTTACCCCTTAATAGTACCAGTTCCCCCATAGCAAGCCCACCATTTTTCATAACACACATCTTGTCTGAGACGCTGTGCGTATTAGTGGCTTAGGTATTGTATGTACTAGCTCTATCTATAAATCAAACATTTTGTTTATAACTCATCTTCTATGTATTTACTTTTACCGGAAGAAAAATTTGAATTTGAAACTCTTTGCCTATGAATTCTGAACTAATTTTCAAAACAAGCGCCATGCTTCACGCTTTCAGCCAATCACAAGGTGAGCAGCAGGTGCGCTCGCTCTGATTGGCTGACACGTACACCTACCTGGTGACGTCACGTGTTGTTATCTACCTGTGAGGATGGTAGGTCACAGCTGAGCTTTGATAATTTACTGTTATGTTGCTCTATATAAACACTTTAAGGCCATTTATTAACGGTATTTATGTTGTTTACAGGCCCGACACTTCAAGGAGCAAGATATTGACGGTAAGTGTTGTTACAGTTCAACAGGAGGAGGAGTTGTGACGTAGAGGAAGTGTTGTTCTCATGGGTGGCACCAGTGGGGCCCTACACTAGTGGGCCCTACACCAGTTATTGTCATATAATATATAAGTAAACTCTGCCATATCTCGATATTTGTATATACAAATTCATTTTTGTTTCAATTTGGTGAGCTTTATTACTTTATTATGGCCCCAAACATATGGGCGAGGGTGAAAAGTTAGAGTAGAGAAAGGCCAGTTATGCTGTAAACTATAGCTACCGCCTACGTAAACTTTATCAGAGTCAGAGACCTTGCTCTGAACTATATTCCATCATATCTATATTACAGACACCAGTATATAACCTTCAATGACATAATCTCCCCCACTCTTGGTATTAACGGTGGGAGTGCCACAGGGCAGCATCTTAGGACCTCTCCTACTTCTTATATGCATCAATGACTACAAATGTCTCAAACCTTCTTAAATTTGTATTATTTGCTGATGATACTACCTTCATCCATTCAGACCCAAACACACTAAATAATATTGTAAATAATGAATTAAAAAAGTCCACTCATGGATGTCAACCAACAAATTCGCACTAAACATAGAAAATACCTTCTGCATTTTATTTGGAAGCAAATCACCAAACCAGATTCATGTTCAGATAGACAATGTCAACAGTATCATTAAAAATGAGGGAAAGTTCCTTGGCTGATACATAGACAAGAGACTAACCTTCACCACCCACATACAACACAACCAAAAAGTCTCAAAAACTGTCGGTATACTCCCAAAAATCAGTTATGTTCCCCACAGTGCTCTTCTTACACTATACTACTTGCTACTCTATCTCAATCTGTGGTATGGTATCTGTGGATGGGGTTCAACCACTGCAAATTACCTCAAGCCTATCATCACCCAGCAAAAATCTGGTATCAGAACTATAACAAACTCTGTCTTCAGACAACACGCAGCCCCTATGTTTTAATCCCTAAACATGCTAAACATAAACTCACTCCACACATTCTCTTGTGCTATCTACACATACAAAACCTTATTTCTAAATGCTAATCCTGATCTGAAACTCTTTACTTGATAGATGTAATAGAACCCATGAACACCACACCAGAAATAAATACAGTAGTCAGAATATTCCATAATATAAAATATTAAAATATTCCTAGAGTCAGACAATCTATTCAAACACTTCATGCAAATAAAAGGACCCAGTGGATGGACCTTTCTCCTTAATTAAAAAAAATCCATCTTATACTTTAAGATGGATTTTTCTTTAAGATTTATTCAAAAGTAAAATAAACAAGTACTGAATTTCCTCCTCATAGTTTCCTACCTTGTGCTCCAAACTCTCACTGTATCTTGTGTTGCCCACTCCCCTCACTTTTAGTACTTAAGACATGCAACTTCACCAGTATAATCTACTATATTGTCAGCTTGTAATGTATGTATATTAACAGTGTATCTATGCAGTATTACATTTTTCAGTTACCTTAAGGACCTGCCCAAAATACTATAGGTGTTAGTGGCTTTGCAAGAATGTAATGCTCAAACACCAATGTTATGTACTCTCACAACTAGATGTACTGTACATTCTTTTATATATACAATATAAATAAATAAATACAGTAATAAAATGAAGACACGGCATGAAATAAAGATGTTGAATTTATTCTTTAGTCATTATTTAGTTCTTATGACAAAAAATTAAGTAGGCTGCTGTATTTCCTCATCAAGGCCACAAGTGTGTTAGTGGCCTTCGTGTAAATTTAAGTAATTTAGGTAACAAGTAATTTTTGTATCACATATAATAATGGGAATAATAATGTTAAAACTGTCATATCTTCCATAAAGTGAATTAGTATCAGAAACTCCCTTTGTTAAATGCCTTTTATTTAAAACAATTTTTCTTGTCATATTTGTTGACATGGAATATACCATATATTAAAGAGATATTTTAAATGAATTAAAAAGCCGTAAGCTTACGGACATAAGATAGTGTTAGGTTAGGCCTTCTAAAATCATTATTATTTTTTATATAATGTTTTGTGAAGTCTTAATTGAACAGTAGAGATATCACTAGTCAACCATTGGCATACTTCAGGAGCAGGTGTGTTTCTTATATTTTAATTTGTTAGTCAACATACAGTATTTGCAATTATTAAATAACGGTTCATTTTTATTAAGGTTACCACTAATTACTTTATTTCATATTTAAAAATGTAAGCCTACCCCAAAGTAGAAGTTATGAGTAAATGAGTGAGCACAAAAATGGTTATTTACCTATGGTAAATAATGTCCAGTATTCACATACAGTACAGTGAAGGTTTTGAAAAGCTTTCACATGTAAATAAAAAACAACTTGATATGATCTATTCCAGTAATAATGTTTACAAAATTCCCAATAATAATAAACACAAAGATTCATTGCTCCTTGCACCAATGTAATACTTGAGCATATGATTGATATCTTTGCTTGCAGAATTCAGGGAGTGTTTCTCCTTGTATGCTCGCAATGGACAGATTCGCACCCTGGATCAGCTAACTGTAATCATGCGTTCCCTGGGCATGAGTCCAACCATTTCTGAGCTTAAAAAGTATTTCAAGGACAAAGGTAAGATTGACTTCCTCTATCATGAATTTCATTTTACAAGTGATACATCACTTTCTCTTTATTTTCTATATTTCTTTTTCTCTATAATGTAATTTTGTTCTAACCATTTTCTAAGTTTTCATTGCTAAGAACACTCTTAGTAAAATCTTTCTTTTGTTTACTTGCTCCACATTCAGGACCGTAAACTGTAATGCTGACCCAGAACCAAGACTTTCTGGGAAGTTTTAACATAACCCGTGGGAACTGCACACAAAATAAGTATTTCTTTGATGGTCGTGTACAGCTCAATCTGTGTAAAAACTTATTTTTATTAACAAACTTAAGTATACATAGCAATGTGCTTCTACCCTATTTTCTATGAAGAATATAGAATAGTTTCTTACCTAAGTGTAGGTGAGAAACTAGCTATAAGCTCATTTAATATCCCCCATCTCACAGGATGGTTAGTCATACACAGAATAAGGAGAGAATATGAAATGCGAGCCACTTCATATTCTATTTTGCTATTTGCCTGCACTAGCAAAATCTGGATTGAGCACAAAAATATTCTCCAATATTTGTGAGTGTAGGAAGCAGCTAGAGTTCAAAGTATCTCAATGTAAATAAAAGGGCCCAAAATATGGAACCGTCTGCCAAATGAAAGCAAACTTTGGCTTGATTTTGCATTGTTGGGAACAAGATGCCTGTTATGCCTATTGAGGCCTCCTCCCCCCCCCCCCCATAGGCCAACAACTGACCTTTCTCGCAAGACAATCCACAACCGTTGCCTAATTATCAGAGTACTGTACTTTTTATCCTGCTATGTGAACAAAGATATCAGGATGTAAAGAAACATGTCTAAGTATCTCATCCTGCCCAAGAATCAAACCCAGGCAGGCATTATATATACCATGACACACACTCACTCATAATAGGAAGGATAAGAAACTTAGATGACTGTAATGCCCTTCAAGAAGACCTGGACAAAATAGGTATATGGAGCACAACTTGGCAAATGGAATTTAATGTGCATAAATGCCATGTTATGGAATGTGGAATAGAACACAGACCCCACACAACCTATAAATTATGTGGAAAATCTTTAAAGACTTCTGATAAAGAAAGAGATCTAGGGGGTGGTTCTAGATAGAAAAGCCTGAGAACCACATAAAGAACGTTGTGCGAGGAGCCTATGCTACGCTTTCTAACTTCAGAATTACTGAATTTAAATACATGGATGGCGAAATACTATAGAAATTGTTCACGACTTTTGTTAGGCCAAAACAAGAATATACAGCGGTTGTATGGTGCCCATATCTTAAGAAGCACATCAACAAACTGGAAAAGGTGCAAAGACATGCCACTAAGTGGCTCCCAGAACTGAAGAGCAAGAGCTATGAGGAGAGGTTAAGGCATTAAATATGCCAAAACTAGAAGAAAGAGGCGATATGATCACTACGTACAAGATAGTAACAGGAATCTATAAAAAGGATAGGGAAGACTTCCTGAGACCTGGAACTTTGAGAACAAGAGGTCATAGATTTAAACTAATTAAACAAAGCTGCTCAAGAAATATAAGAAAATTCACTTTTGTAAACAGAGTGGTAGACGGTTGGAACAAGTTAGGTGAGAAGGTGGTGGAGGCCAAAACAGTCAGTAATTTCAAAGCGTTATATGACAAAGAGTGCTGGGAAGACGGGACACCACGAGTGTAGCTCTCATACTGTAACTACACTCAGGTAATTACATGACATCAACTTGAAAGCAATAGCCTTGAAAGCCTACGAAGGAAGAACGGAAGACATTTGGACGGGCAAATTTGTAAGCTTCATTCTAGACACATTCATGTATCAGCACGTCAAGCAGACCACATGAATGAGGGTAGGGGATGTTCAGTCAATACTGGATCTAATATTCACCATAAAAGAAAAAGTGATCCAGTATTTGATATCCAGTACCTACCTCCCTTGGGAATGAGTGATCATGTCCTGTTGGAAATTAAGTATGCTTTGCGATATAATCTAGAAGAGAAAGGGGACATTGTAACAGTTGATAAACACGATTTCGAGAGAGGACACTATGGGGAACTTAGAAAATTCTTTAATGAGTTTAATTGGACAGACTTGTTGCTAAGGGAAAGGAAGTAAATGAGATGTATGCCAAATTTTGCAAAATATACTATGAAGGCACACAAACAATCACATCAAAACGGAGATGCAGGACCAGAAAACAGGATTTGTTCAACAGAAATTGTAAGAGAGCTAGAAAGAAAAGACAGGAAAATGGGTTCAATATAGAAAGAGGCCTAACCCACAAACATACCAGCACTACAAGCAAGAAAGAAACAATAACACAGCAGTGAGGAGAGAGGCAGAAAGGTACTTGGGAAAAGGTATAGCAGGCAAATGTAAAACAGATCCAGGCCTTTTCTATAAATGCATTAAAAACAAGCTGCATGTAAAGAATAAAACACAGAGATTGAGAATGGGGAACAAGATTACTGAAAATTAAAAAAATGTGTGAAACGCTAAATGAACAGTTCCAAAGTGTGTTTGTACAAAATAAGTGCACTCCCATCTGGCCTACTCCATTAAACATGAAGACCTCGCCTTCAGAAAGATAGCTATTTTGGAAAGGTTAAGTACAGAGCTATTAAGAAATCATCCTAGAGGTAGGTCAACTCGGAAAAGGTTGAGGGCCTCTGGATTAATAACATTAAAAGCTGGACACTTCAAGGCTGATCTCGACGAGACCCTCAAAATACTGAACAAATGAGAGGAAGTTAATCCAGTTCACTTCTTTTAAAAGATCCACTGTAACTCTGAGGCAACAATTTCACATTCAACAAGCCACATTGCAAGACAGGCTACAAGAGATGCTTTTAACTATAGGGTAATAGACTTGCCTACCAGCCGAAGTGGTAAATGACAAGCTGGTACTCGTGTTTAAAATACAACTAGAAAAAATACTAAGTAATAATGGAGGGACCTTTACCAAGCCACCAATTTCCTGTCCCTGTCGAGGCCATTAGATATGGTGACTCCTAGGTGATTTTTGGTGTACTGTATCAACAACTGTAAAAGTCAGATAGACTTGATGATTATTTCTTAAATGTCAAAATTTTTATATCACATTGTATATATATATATATCTTATACAGTATTTCTATGCAGTTCAAATTTCATTTATTTTTGTTAATTTCTATAATAATAAATTACTGTCCTCATTATATTAACTTTAGAAGTTACATACACCTGCATGTGTTAATACCATACAAATTACTCTCTTTTCAGTTTTTGTACAGTGAATCATTCATAATAATGCTTAATATTACATTCATGAGTTATAGATATACCCAAAAGGCTGATCATACTTGTCCACAATTAAAATACAATACAGTAATTCTATATTCAGAATCAAGCAGTTAAATAAACAACATACATACATATATATATATATATATATATATATATATATATATATATATATATATATATATATATATATATATATATATATATATATATGTATGTCGTACCTAATAGCCAGAACGCACTTCTCAGCCTACTATGCAAGGCCCGATTTGCCTAATAAGCCAAGTTTTCCTGAATTAATATATTTTCTCTAATTTTTTTCTTATGAAATGATAAAGCTACCCATTTCATTACGTATGAGGTTAATTTTTTTTTATTGGAGTTAAAAGTAACGTAGATATATGACCAAATTTAACCAACCCTACCTAACCTAACCTATCTTTATAGGTTAGGTTAGGTTAGGTAGCCGAAAAAGTTAGGTTAGGTAGGTTAGGTAGTCGAAAAGCAATTAATTCATGAAAACTTTGATTATTAGGCAAATCGGGCCTTGCATAGTAGGCTGAGAAGTGAGTTCTGGCTACTAGGTACGACATATATATATACACATATATATATATACATATATACATATATACATATATATATACATATATATATACATATATATATATATATATGTCGTACCTAGTAGCCAGAACGCACTTCTCAGCCTACTATGCATGGCCCGATTTGCCTAATAAGCCAAGTTTTCTTGAAGTAATATATTTTCTCTAATTTTTTTCTTATGAAATGATAAAGCTACCCATTTCATTCTATATGAGGTCAATTTTTTTTTATTGGAGTTGAAATTAACGTAGATATATGACCGAACCTAACCAACCCTACCTAACCTAACCTAACCTATCTTTGTAGGTTATGTTAAGTTAGGTAGCCGAAAAAGTTAGGTTAGGTTAGGTAGGTTAGGTTGTCGAAAAACAATTAATTCATGACAACTTGGCTTATTAGGCAAATTGGGCCTTACATAGTAGGCTGAGAAGTGCGTTCTGGCTATTAGGTACGACATATATATATATATATATATGTCGTACCTAGTAGCCAGAACGCACTTCTCAGCCTACTATTCAAGGCCCGATTTGCCTAATAAGCCAAGTTTTCATGAATTAATGTTTTTTCGTCTACCTAACCTACCTAACCTAACCTAACCTAGCTTTTTTTGGCTACCTAACCTAACCTTACCTATAAATATAGGTTAGGTTAGGTTAGGTAGGGTTGGTTAGGTTCGGTCATATATCTACGATAATTTTAACTCCAATAAAAAAAATTGACCTCATACATAGAGAAAAGGGTTGCTTTATCATTTCATAAGAAAAAAATTATAGTAAATATATTAATTCAGGAAAACTTGGCTTATTAGGCAAATCGGGCCTTGAATAGTAGGCTGAGAAGTGAGTTCTGGCTACTAGGTACGACATATATATATATATATATATATATATATATATATATATATATATATATATATATATATATATATATATATATATATATATATATATATATATATATATATATATATATATATATATATATATATATATATATATATATATATATATATATAATGTCGTACCTATTAGCCAGAACGCACTTCTCGGCCTACTATGCAAGGCCCGATTTGCCTAATAAGTCAAGTTTTCATGAAATAATGGTTTTTCGACTACCTAACCTACCTAACCTAACCTAACCTAACGTTTTCCGCTACCTAACCTAACCTAACCTATAAAGATAGATTAGGTTAGGTTAGGTAGGGTTGGTTAGGTTCGGTCATATATCTATGTTAATTTTAACTCCAATAAAAAAAAATTGACCTCATACATAATGAAATGGGTAGCTTTATCATTTCATAAGAAAAAAATTAGAGAAAATATATTAATTCAGGAAAACTTTGCTTATTTGGCAAATCGGGCCTTGCATAGTAGGCTGAAAAGTTCGTTCTGGCTACTAGGTACGACATATATATATATATATATATATATATATATATATATATATATATATATATATATATATATATATAATATATATATATATATATATATAATATTTATTTATTTTGCACATTAATATTGTTGTTAAATCTCAGTTTAACACTTAAGTTTTATCTTGTCCTTTCTATATAAAGAATTTCAAATTTCAGTGCTGTGTACTGCTACACATACTGCTTGAGTATACCATTCAGTCAATGTTGAGTATAGTATTAAGTCAGTAAACACCCATGTTGACAATACAGAAGCCTATAGTATGGTTAAATACTGCTGTTACAGGTGGGAAGATGAGTTTTCCCGACTTCCTCGATGTGATGCACAAACACAGCCAGGTAGAGAAGATACCTGAAGAAATCTTAGCCGCCTTTAGAGGTCACGACCCGAAGAAAACTGGAGCCATACCAGCACGAGATCTACGGCACATCCTACTACAGTGGGGTGAATGCCTCAGTCACAAAGAAGGCAAGATAACTGCATTGATATCATTTTTGGTTAATGAATATTACTTCTTTACTAACTGATGGGACAACACACGTGTTTAATAACTTTAAAATTAGTGTTTCCAACACTATCATATAGGATACTATTTTGCAGTTAAAGAGATCTAATCCTTATATCTTCATTTAGTTTCATTGTGTACAATGCAGGTGATTTGGTGGATCTGTCTACAATTTTTGCATGTTTGCCCTTAAGTTTCAGGTGGTGGTCTCTTATAGAATCTTTTCTATATACAGTACTTAAAATACATTAGACACTTGGCCATAATGTACAAAAAAAAAAACTAAGCATAAGGAAAACAAGGTACAATGGTATATTACTGTAATAGGATGGTAAGGCTGCTGTCGAATTTTAAATCTTGAGGTGCATGAATTGACAACATTATACAGGAATAGTATTTTACAACAAAATTGATTTCATCTTTACAGTTAATAATTGTCATCACTGTTAAAGTAAATATTTATTAAGAACTAACAAGAAATTCTATATAATAATTTAGAAAAAAAAATTGAAATCAATGGCAATTAAAAAAAGCCATTATTTCAAACGAGGGCATGTGTAGTGAAGATCACATGTGATCATGCCTGGCACTTTTCACCCAGCAAAAACTGTATGATTAATGTTGCCTTCAATACACACACAAGCAATTGTATGGTGCCTATATCTCAAGAAGCACATCAATAAACTGGAAAAGGTGCGCAAAGGCATGCTACAAAACAGCTTCCGGAACTGAAAAACGAGAGTTATGAAGAGAGACTAGAGGTGTTAAATATGCCAAAGCTAGAAGAAAGAGGAGATATGATCACGTCACCACTTACAAAATAACAACAGGACTCAACCAAATTGCCAAAGAGGAATACTTCAAACCAGCAACTTCAAGAACAAGAGGTCACAGATTCAAACTAAGGAAACAATGCTGCCAAAAAAATATCAAAGTTTTCTTTTGCAAACAGAGTGGTAGATGGTTGAAACAATTTAAATGAGAAGGTGGTGGAGGCCAAAACCGACGGTAGTTTCAAAGCATTATGATTATGATTATATGACAGAGTACTTGGTAAGACGGGACACCACAAGCGTAGCTCTCATCTTGTAACTACACTTGTGTAATTACACACACACACACACACACAGATGCTGTGTTTCCAAAGGACTACTATATAGTAAGGAAAGAGAGGGAAGGGAGAGGAGGTGGAGGAGTGGCCCTGCTGATAAGGAAGGACTGGAGTTTTGATGATGGAAATTCCAGGCTGTGACGGGTTCAGAGATTACATAACAGGAACTTTAACAATGGGTGGACCTAAGATAATAGTGGCAGTCATTTACAACCCTCCCCTAAATGACAGAAGATCCAGACAGGAGTTTGATAGGAACAACGTGGCAACTAATAATATAATAGAGAGAGCAGCTTCAGTTACCTGCAGGAATGGATCAAGACTCTTAATCATGAGCAACTTCAACCATGGAAAGATAGACTGGGAGAATGGGGACCCACATGGTGGTGCAGACACATGGAGAGCTAAACTCTTGGAAGTGGCAACAAGGAACTTTCTGAGCCAGCATGTCAGGGAACCCACAAGAGTGAGAGGCAATGATGAACCAGCTAGACTCGACTTGATATTCTCCCTGAATGAGTCAGAAATTAGGGAAGTCAAAGTTGAAGCCCCCAAAGGAATGAGTGACCACAGTGTACTGACTTTTGAGTACTTAGTGGAGGTAGGGATAACCTATCCAAGAATGGGAACGGAGGGAAAAAGACTAAATTACCAAAGAGGAAAATATGATGAGATGAGGAACTTCCTAAAGGGAATACCTTGGGAAACAGAACTTAGAGACAAGAATGTGCAGGTCATGATGGATTTTGTCACCTAGAAGTGCCAGGAAGCTGCAGACAGGTTTATCCCGGTCCAAAAGGAGAAAAACGAAAAACAACAGAAAAACCCATGGTTCAACCAGGAATGCAAGGTAGCGAAGCAACTGAGTAAAAGAACATGGAGATACTACAGAAATAACAGAACACCGGAGAGCAGGGAGAGATACCAGAGGGCCAGAAATGGGCCCTCAGGCCCTCTGAGGGCCTCAGAGTGAGGAGGGAAGGAGAGACAGTATGAAAATGACATAGCGAGTAAAGCCAAGACCCAGCAAAGCGGCTCCAGAGCCACATCAGGAGGAAAACAGCAGTGAAGGAACAAGTGATGAAATTGAAAAAAGGGGAGAACAGATACAAGAGAATGACAAGGTGGTGTGTGAAGAACTCAATAAGAGATTCTAGGAGGTCTTCACAATAGAACAAGGAGAAGCCCAGGCACTAAATGAGGAGGAGGCAAACCAAGCAACCTTGGAGGAATTTGACCTCACCAGTGATGAGGTCAAAAGGTGTCTGCTGGAGCTGGATGTGACAAAGGCTGTTGGGCCTGACAGAATCTCACCATGGATACTAAAGGAAGGTGCAGAAGCACTAAGTGTGCCACTCTCTATGGTGTATAACAGATCACTGGAAACAGGAGACCTACCAGAAAGTTGGAAGACAGCTAACGTAGTCCCAATATACAAGACGAGTGACAGGCAAGAGGCACTGAACTACAGGCCAGTTTCCCTAACTTGAATACCATGCAAGGCGATGGAGAAGATCTTGAGGAAAAGGCTCGTAGAGCATCTGGAGTGAAATAACTTTGTAACGCACCACCAACATGGGTTTAGAGATGGTAAATCGTGCCTCAGGTTTAATAGAATTCTATGACCAGGCAACAAAAATTAGGCAGGAAAGAGAAGGGTGGGCCAACTGCATTTTCCTGGACTGCCAGAAAGCTTTTGACACAATACCCCATAAAAGGCTGTTTAAAAAGTTGGAGCAACAGGCAGGAGTAAAAGGGAATTGCTCCAGTGGATAAGGGAGTACTTAAGCAACAGGAAACAGCGAGTAATGGTGAGGGGGGGAGACATCAGAGTGGCAAGATGTCACCAGCGGAGTCCCACAGGGCTTTGACCATCCAGTTTCTAATATATGTAAACGATCTTCTGGAGGGTATAGACTCGTTCCTCTCAATGTTTGCTGATGGTGCAAAAATTATGAGAAGAATCAAGACGGATGAAGATAGACAGAGACTACAGGATGACCTGGACAAACTGGAGGAATGGTCTAGAAAATGGCTGCTAAAGTTCAACTCAGAAAAGTGTAAGGTAATGAAATTAGGTGAAGAGAGCAGGAGGCTAAACACAAGGTTCCATCTGGGAGGTGAAATCCTGCAAGAGTCAAATAGAGAGAAAGATCTGGGGGTTGATATCACACCGAACCTGTCCCCAGAGGCCCACATCAAAAGGATATCATCAGCGGCATATGCTAGACTGGCCAACATAAGAACTGCCTTTAGAAACTTGTGTAAGGAATCATTCAGGACCCTGTATACCACTTGTGTCAGACCAATCCTGGAATATGCAGCTCCGGCCTGGGGTTCATACCTAGTTAAACACAAGACAAAGATAGAGAAGATTCAGCGGTATGCCACCAGGCTCGTCCCGGAACTGAGAGGTATGAGCTACGAAGAAAGGCTAAAGGAGCTGAATCTCACGTCCCTGGAAAACAGAAGAGTAAGGGGAGACATGATAACCACCTACAAAATTCTCGGGAATTGACAGGGTGGACAAAGACAAACTTTTCAGCAAGGGTGGGACACGAACAAGGAGACACAGGTGGAAACTTAGTACCCAGATGAGCCACTGAGACTTTAGAAAGAATTTTTCAGTGTCAGTAGTTTTAAATGGAATGCACTAGGCAGTGATGTGGTGGAGGCTGACTCCACAGTTTCAAATGTAGATATGATAGAGCCCAGTAGGCTCAGGAATCTGTACACCAGTTGATTGACAGTTGAGAGGCGGGCCCAAAGAGACAAAGCTCAATCCCCGCAAGCACAATTAGGTGAGTACACACATTGGCATCTTCTGCCCTTCATCCATAAATACAGTATACTGTATACTACAGTACTGCATTAAGATTTATAAAGTAACTGACTTGCTTGGGGGTGCCCCATTTAGCTTTAGTTATCAATAAGAAAATTAGTCTGCTACATAAGAGGACCTATTCTAAGTCTTGGTACTTTACATTCCTGAAGCTTCATTCCTCTCGTGAATCTATTTTCTGTACCCCTTATACCATCATCAGATCTTTTTTTTTATAAGTAATCCTCCACTTACTCTTTCATAAGCAGGCATTACTTTAACCTGTTATACTCTCAGATATATTTAATAAGCTGTCCATCAATCATTTTCAACATATGCCTAAATCATAAGACAACAGTTAATTTAATTTTGCCCACTAAATGATACAAATTCATAATAATGTAAAAGAGCAAATATATTTTGAGGTACCTGGGTGTGGGACATCTTGGACCTTGGTACAAGTCCTGCATGCTTCTGTAAATGTTGGTTTACCCCCTCGGTATTCTTGTACCATGTATGGCTTGTTTGCCATACATCATGCTCCATACACATCTCTCTTACCTTTTCCTCTCCACCTGCACTTATTAGATCATTTTAACACCTGGAATTTTAGATTTGTGCCTTATCAAAGCTAGAAGTGTAAACATGTTAAGCCAGTAGGTATAGATAATATATGAATAATTAGATAAGTAGAGGTCTTTTTTTTTCAGTGGAGCAGATCTTTCGTGAGGCCAACATATCTCCAAATGGTGTTGTTCGCTACCAAGATTTCTGTAGGATTGTGTGCGCTCCTGTGCCTGATTACTATTAACAAGAGTACAGGTTGAAATACAATATTGTATTAGCCTTTCAGGTATTGCAATATGGATCTGGACATGTGTGTGTGTGTGATATTTCAGTATGATCAGGTCATGGTGTAATTACCCAAATGATGTACTATGTAAGGTACAGTAATATTTGTAAGTTACATTATGCCAGAGGGTTATGATAAAACATTAATCGGTAACTTAAAATGATAACTATTTAAAGTTTCTTTCGATCTCTTATCATAAGAGCATTTGAATAATGTCTTTCAATTTTATATCTAAATAAATACCCATTATACTACATCATTAGCCATAGATTTAATCCCAAATAATTATTATGAGGCATTTTTTAGGATTACCCTAAAATATACTTTAAATATGATTAAATACAGTATGTCCTTACAATACTGTATTGGAAGGACGTATTGTATAGGCTTACTCAAATATATAAATTTTATATTTTGAAGGCCATAGTTTTTGGTGACATTTTAACTCTGGCACTGCTCAGTTGCTCATCACATTGTATCATATGATCTACATCATTAATTTTCAAATAATTACTTCCTCTGGTGTCCACAAGTAGTGATGTGAGCCGAGCCAATGGTACAGAGAGAGATGCCACAGGTTATTAATTCAGCTGCCTTGGTTACTTCCATGTTTAAAGTGATTGTTACAATGCCTCAGGTTCAGTGGTACATGTGCCACACTTCCCTACAACCTTTCTAATTGCTCCTTAACTAATGAGCTTGCCAAGCTCCACATGAATTTGTTTGTCATCTATCTTTCACTTTAAATATACAGTGATGAGTCAAATTTTAAGCTGTTCCTTGAAATGTGTAGAGATGATCCATACCAAAAATAAATAGGTCAAATAAGCATTAAACATTCCATATAGTACTGTCTTTTTATTCTGTAAGGTACAGAAAACAATCCAACCACCATTTTGTTGATGGGTAAAACTGCAATGAATGAGAACAGAATACACACAGAAGGGCTGCTAAGATTCAAAATATATGCTCAGTATCTATATTATTTTAATTCACTCATATATACTGTGGTAATAAGACTATTTATAAATAAGTCATACAATACTGTGACAGGGTTACAGTATAATAAATTAAATTGATAATAACACACACAATAACATATTCACCTTCATTGGTCAACAATCATTGTGGATACAGCAAAGATATTGTACCATATGGAAAAGATCAAGGCAAATGGGGGAGGGGGACCTCCGACAAGTTGCCAGCTTCCTGTCCTCATCGAGGCTACTACTGTTAGTGGCCCTAAGGTAAATATATCACTGGCCAGTGCAGTTGGCTCAAAGTCAAATGGTTCTGTATTTTATTCTTACACAGGGCGAGATATTAGGGCAGGTTTTCTTACACCTGATGTGTGTGTTTACCCTGCAATAATAAGGTATCCAGGAGTTGTGCATCTTATGTGGGTTGCACCCTGGGGAAGGTGTCGTCACCCTAACAGGCTTCCCCTACCTTGACAGTGTTACATTAAGCTGGTCAATATGAAGCAGTACTGTACTAAGACAAAAGTCATTTATTCTTTCTAGTCACTTTAGTTAAATATTATTTGTTTTGTATTGATTAAGAACCTGATAATTCTTTTATAATTTGATTCCTGTCTCTATGAAAACTTGCTTGCATCTATCTGTATGCAACTAAAACTTTGTTAACGGTTAAAACCTAGTAAACCAATTTAGGGATGTCTCAAGTTTAGATATCGAGACAGCTGTTTTGACAACCTCTTAGTAAGTTTTATAATACATTATGTACAGTCACTTTCAACACATTATCATAGTTATGTTGTTTAAAACCAACAATATGTAGCAAACTGTAATTGAATAAATTAAAAGGAAAATAATCAAGCATGTGATAAAATCTCACTAAAAATAGACATAAACCTTAATTTCAGTTCAGTACACCTAAAGATTACCTAGCATTGAGTATGAATTATATACCTAACCTATAACCTATATAACTTTTTCGGCTATAACCAAACCTAACCTATAGAGATATATTATTAGGTATTGGTTAGGTTCGGTCATATATCTATTAATATATAAAAAAAAAATTGACCTCATACATAATGAAATGGGTAGCTTTATATTTCATAAGAAAAAAATTTGAGAAAATTTATTAATTCAGGAAAACTATTAGGCAAATCGGGCCTCGCATATTAGGCTGAGAAGTGCGTTCTGGCTACTAGGTACGACATATATATATATATATATATATATATATATATATATATATATATATATATATATATATATATATATATATATATATATATATATATATATATTAATAATAATATATATATAAAAACTATACCAATCCAGTATTCATATACTGTCCATAATTCCCTGTTATTTATTTTAAATATAATATACTGTATAATAGTCTTAAGAGAAACTCTTTACCAAATTGATGTGCCAAGTAAAATCTAAATTATTTAATACTGTTAAAAGACGAAACTTAAAATTAAACCTGTGGTCTCTCGAATAACTATACAGTACTTCTATTAAGGATCCTGCAGATGGCCTCCATCATGGAGTCGTACACACTGTAGATTATATTTCTTTGGACTAAATCTGCAAAAGATAATTTCAAAGTTTTTTACATCATAATTTACATATAATTATATTACTGTATTATAATGGTCAGCTATAATTTTTGTTAGTTTTCTAGTAACAAACAATAGATAAATCTGCACCAAAACAACATCAATGGCAAAACATTCTTCATATTGTATATAATATGGAGATATTGTATGAAAAATGAAAAGAAAAATTAATTATAAACGAATTGTTAATTCGAAAAATTTGTGCCGTATTGCATTGTTTGGCTGAAAGAAAAATATCTAACAATTAACCCAAAAATTATATTAAGAAACATTGGTATTTTAAATTAAGCTCCCTTGCTAATATTTTATATAGTCATGATGTAAGAAAACATAACATTTATGTGAGGTCTAACGTTAGCGTGATCAGTTCCAATTTGTGAAGGTGAATAAAAATGGTACAAGCTGCTGCAATTTGTATGGTACAGTATTTGATTATTGTACATGAATTCAGAGTTATACATGTAAGGATTTTTACAGCAAGTTTCAAAGTGCATTAAGTGAGTTTCAAAGTTATGCAGTTTGGTAATGAATTAGTATGGATAATCTGAGCTAATCCTTGGGCCTCCCTTGTTCTTGGCAGTGGGTCGGGCTAACTCTCATCCTACATTTTTCTTTTATACTAAATATTTGTGGGTTATGTTTATTCATTATTATATATCCTAAGCTTTAGACTTCATTATGAGCCGACTCTGTGACAGGAAAGTGGGAGCAGCATTCAGTACTGTATTAATCAAGAAACAAGTACGCTCTATTTTATAGAAGAAAAGTCATGCAAAATATTGTATAGACTTTTGAAGATCTCTGGAATGTATCCTTATTTTCATCCACGTACTGTACCTTCAAGTTTGATTTGTGCTGTTTTTACAGGAACGTATCCTCCATGCAAATCGGGCTATGTCTGTATAATGTACACTATTTACCAAAATGCTGTGATAGAGTAAGGATAAATTTCTAAAGGCTATTTACCTTATTTACTATTTCATATAATGTGTGTTTATAGTGTTTTTTATATTGTAACCTATCATTTCTCCCCTCCCCCCCAAAAAAAACAAAAAAAAGAATTCATACAATTATTTTTATAACAGAATTATTTTGAAGTGCTTTACTGAAAATGTTATGGCACTGCCAAAGGGTTACTATTCAAATTTGCTAATAAAATATAAATATGGAAAAGCCTCAGTAATACATATCACTAAAAAATCTTTAACTTTGAGGAAAAGAAAGTGGTTATTTAACTGTATTATCTCTGGTATTTAACTGTATATGCTGAGTGACAATCCTCCCTGAACTAAATTGACTCTCATACCAGGAAAGCATGAAGGTCACAGGACTAACACTGCAAACCACGCATGACACGGCTTATCTCACACACACACTTTTAAAATACTGAACAAGTTGTAAGATATTAATCCAGACCACTTCTTTAAAAGGTCAAATGTAACATACAAGGGTCAATTTCTTTAAGCTAAATAAGCCAATGTAGGACAGAAAAACTTTTTAACCCATAGTTTTATAAACCCATGGAACTGCCTACCCACTAAATCTGTAAATCCCAAGATATTACTGCAATTTAAAATTCTTGGAAATTCTCAGAGAAAAAAAATAGAGGGACCTTTAACAAGCTGCTGGCTTCCTGTCCCTGTCATGGATGCTAGACAAAGATTATGGCCCTCAGGTGAATATAATTTAATACTAACATTGGTAAAAAGTAAAATAGGATGCATTAATAAATACTGTATATGCAAGTCCTACAATTATTTTTTATAGAAACTAGGTTTGCCTTGCTTCCTATTTCATATATATCTGCTTCATCCACAAAATTAATGATGTTTTGTGAAAATAATAATAATGTGTGTACTCACCTAGTTGTGCTTGCAGGGGTTGAGTTTTGGCTCTTTGGTTCTGCCTCTCAACTGTTAATTGGTGTACAGGTTCCTGAGCCTATTGGGTTCTCATATCTACATTTGAAACTATGTATGGAGTCTGCCTCCACCACATCACTACCTAGTGCATTCCATTTGTTAACTACCCTGACTGAAAAAAATCGTTCTAATGTCCACCTGGCCCATTGGAGTATTGTATTGAGTTTCAACCTGTAATTACCTAAGTGTAGTTATAGAATGAGAGCTTTGCTCGTGGTGTCCCGACACTAAGGTTCCATTCAGATACAGTTTTTCATCAAATTCTTGCACGTGCACAGGCTGCTCTGAGTCTACAAATGTGACAAAGGCTGCAAGGAAAAGTAAGCCATAGATGACTTAAGAACTCTAAATGACCCGACCAGGATTTGAACCCATGACGTACAGGATCGACCCCAAATGCGCACAGTACTGTGACCACCACACCATTGATCGTCTATAAGGATTGGTCAGTCCTTAGCCACGGTACTGTGTATGTTTGGGGATGACCGTGGACGTCATGAATTTGAATCCTAGTCGGGTCATTTAGAGTTCTCAGTGATCTATGGCTTGCATGTTTCTGTAGACTTTATTGCATTTGTAGACTCAGCACGGGCCATGCATGTGCCAGAATTTGATAAAAAACTGTACCCAAATTGAACCATGAGAGACATCGGGGTTTGGTCAGTCGTGGAGCTTAGCAAATAAGCACCAAGACTGACCAATCCTTATAGACGATCAAGGTGCGGTGGTCACAGTACTGTGTTCATTTGGCTTTGATCCTGGATGTCATGGGTTCGAATCCTAGTCGGGTCCTTTAGAATTCTTAGCGATACACACACACACACACACACAAAAATTACTAAAACAGAAGATTTTTGGACCTGTAAATTTGTAGACCTCATCTTGGAAACATTCTTGTATCAACATGTTAAACAAGCTACGAGGATGAGGGAAGGGGACGTTCCCTCCATGCTAGATTTGATATTTACCAGGAAGGAGGAAGAGATATTTGACATTCAGTACCTTCCTCCCTTGGGTAAAAGTGACCATGTCTTTTTGGGAATAAAGTATGCAATGCGTTATAATCTGGAAGAAAATATGACGGTCGATGCAATTGGAAAACCAGACTTTAGGAGAGGACATTATGGTGACCTTAGAAATTTTTTTAGTGAGTATAATTGGACAGACTTGATGCTAGGCAAGGAAGTGAATGAGATGTATGTCAAGTTTTGTAAAATATATGATAAAGGCACAAAAAAATTTATACCAAAACAGAGATGCAGAACTAGGAAACAGGATTGGTTCAATAGAAATTGCGAGAGGGCTAGAGACCGAAAGACACAAAAATGGAATCAATACAGGAAGAGGCCAAACCCCCAAACATACCAGCGATACAAAGATGCGAGAAACAACTACACGGCAGTGAGGAGAGAGGCAGAAAGAAATTTTGAAAAAGGGATTGCAGACAAATGTAAAACAGAACCAGGTCTATTCTATAAATTCATAAACAACAAATTGCAGGTAAAAGATAATATTCAGAGGTTGAAAATGGGAAATAGATTCACGGAAGATGAAAAGGAAATGTGTGAAACACTAAACGAAAAGTTCCAAAGTGTGTTTGTACAAAATGAAATCTTTAGGGAACCAGATACAATAGGAATTCCAGAGAACAACATAGAACACATAGAGGTGTCTAGAGACGAAGTGGAAAAAATGCTCAAGGAGCTCGGTAAGAACAAAGCAGCTGGCCCAGATGGCGTTTCACCATGGGTTCTGAGAGAATGTGCATCTGAGCTCAGCATTCCACTTCACCTGATCTTTCAGGCATCCCTGTGTACAGGAATCGTAGCAGACAGGTGGAAACAGGCTAACATAGTTCCAATCTACAAAAGTGGCAGCAGGGAAGACCCCCTCAATTATAGACCTGTATCATTGACAAGTGTAATAGTGAAAGTATTGGAAAAACTAATCAAAACTAAATGGGTAGAACACCTAGAGAGAAATGATATAATATCAGACAGACAGTATGGTTTTCGATCTGGAAGATCCTGTGTATCGAATTTACTCAGTTTCTATGATCGAGCCACAGAGATATTACAGGAAAGAGATGGTTGGGTTGACTGCATCTATCTGGACCTAAAAAAGGCTTTCGACAGAGTTCCACATAAGAGGTTGTTCTGGAAACTGGAAAATATTGGAGGGGTGACAGGTAAGCTTCTATCATGGATGAAAATTTTCTGACTGATAGAAAAATGAGGGCAGTAATCAGAGGCAATGTATCAGAATGGAGAAATGTCACAAGTGGAGTACCACAGGGTTCAGTTCTTGCACCAGTGATGTTTATTGTGTACATAAATGATCTACCAGTTGGTATACAGAATTATATGAACATGTTTGCTGATGATGCTAAGATAATAGGAAGGATAAGAAATTTAGATGACTGTCATGCCCTTCAAGATGACCTGGACAAAATAAGTATATGGAGCACCACTTGGCAAATGGAATTTAATGTTAATAAATGTCATGTTATGGAATGTGGAATAGGAGAACATAGACCCCACACAACCTATATATTATGTGAGAAATCTTTAAAGAATTCTGATAAAGAAAGAGATCTAGGAGTGGTTCTAGATAGAAAACTATCACCTGAGGACCACATAAAGAATATTGTGCAAGGAGCCTATGCTATGCTTTCTAACTTCAGAATTGCATTTAAATACATGGATGGCGATATACTAAAGAAATTGTTCATGACTTTTGTTAGGCCAAAGCTAGAATATGCAGCTGTTGTGTGGTGCCCATATCTTAAGAAGCACATCAACAAACTGGAAAAGGTGCAAAGACATGCTACTAAGTGGCTCCCAGAACTGAAGGGCAAGAGCTACGAGGAGAGGTTAGAAGCATTAAATATGCCAAAACTAGAAGACAGAAGAAAAAGAGGTGATATGATCACTACATACAAAATAGTTACAGGAATTGATAAAATCGACAGGGAAGACTTCCTGAGACCTGGAATTTCAAGAACAAGAGGTCATAGATTTAAACTAGCTAAACACAGATGCCGAAGAAATATAAGAAAATTCACCTTCGCAAATAGAGTGGTAGACGGTTGGAACAAGTTAAGTGAGAAGGTGGTGGAGGCCAAGACCGTCAGTAGTTTCAAAGCGTTATATGACAAAGAGTGCTGGGAAGACGGGACACCACGAGCGTAGCTCTCATCCTGTAACTACACTTAGGTAATTACACTTAGGTAATTACACACATATATATATAGAGCATGTGCTGTTTATTTCCATGCAAATGTTAGTGACACTAATTACTGTACAATGTTTTTCACTTAAAAACTTGTGTACATCAACTTAGCAAAAACACCAAGGGAAATTTAGTTGGTGACATGTAGTTTAGATAGATGATGCACAACTTTAGTGTGCAGAAACCTTTACTCATTTCTGATTATTAGTGACAATAACATAAGAAGACTACTTAAAAGTTCACAAAAGACACTAAAGGAACTATGGTACAGATGGAGTATTCAAATCTTTTATTCCCCATAGTAAAGTTCATACAACAGTGACAAATCAATGTACACTTATTCTAATTTTTACCTTATTATATACTCCGAAATTCCAGTATTTGGAGAGATTTTGTTGATTTCATCAAAATCCCCAGGAGTATTGCAGCCCAGAGTCTTATGAAAGTGAATGTATAGCTGCTTAAGGGCTGCTCCATGGCCCACCACCAAAATCTTTTCTACTGGCACACCTTCCTCTAATAACTAAAACACACAAAAGAAAAGCATTAATAATAGCAATAAATATAAAATAATATTTTTATAGTATAATGTTAATAAAATATTGAAATGTAAAAAAAAAAAAAAGTATTGAATGTAATGAAACACAATTTTCTGGGCGAGTCCCGGAGCTATCCAGGCTGAATGGATATGTTTAACTTTCTGGCATCAGTCAATGTGCATGGAGTTCTTGCCTACCGAGGACCACGAGCCAGAACCTGGACCCCTCAGAGAGGCATGCGGAGCAGTGGCCTATAGAAACCCCCCTGTGGTTGCGGGCATTCTATGTCTGCCATCGACCAGGACAGGCACCCAGAAAGGTAGGCGCCCCAAAACAAACCCCTATTCTGGTGAAACTAATGCTACCAAAAATCGAACGAGTGGACAGAACTCCCCAAACGAAAATAAGCAAATGAGCATGTCATCATGTTGCCGCGCCGTTGTCTGCACAACCCCTCCCCCCTCCTCCCCGGGAGGGGAAGGGGGGCCCCAGACCCTCGTGCCGGCGACCCAATGACCCAACCCAACCAACGGCCAACCAACGGCAACCCAACCTACAGTTCTTAGGCTGGATGTCAAAAAACGCAAAAAACACTGCCGCCTGGGGGGGTGGGGAGTGGGAGGGATGCTGGGGAGCCGATCCGGGACTCGCCCAGAAAATGGCATTTCATTACATTAATCGCTGGTGTTCCGGAGCTAACTACCCAAAGATAAAGAAAAACAGGGACTTACCCGGGAGGCGGTCCGTCCTCACTCCTCAACATGAAGTCGAGACAACTGGCTGCAACTGCCGACCCAATGCAACGCAGGCCCGACCAGGCCCAGGGACATTCACCAGGTAATGAGCTGCCAGGACCCTGTTCGACTGTCAAAAACCCCGTGCCCGAATGTCAACCCAAGACATGTTGCCAAAGACGGCAGCCAAAGCAGCAAATTTACACACGTCGTGGGCACTGGGACTTGCAGACTGGCTAAACTTAATAACCCTGTGGACAACCTGAGAGACCCGAGCCCGGGAACAGGGAAGAAGGGAAACCAGGTCAACCCAAAGTGAAACCCCGGCCACTGAAGCCGTGGCGCGCAAATAATGGCGGAGAGCCGCAACCGGACACAACACATGATGCACCCCCGGCCTGACCAACCAAGCATCAACAATCCAAGGCCCCCTCTGTCTGAAACGCAGCCGTCTCATTCTTTGCCAGAAAAGGAGAGGGCTGCAACCGAATAAAACTACCACCAGGACCGAAAGAGCAGAAACCCCTGCGCCGGAGGAGAGCATGAAGCTCCCCGACCCAACCCCCAGAAGCCAATGCCAACACGAAAAGTGCCTTAAAAGCAATCCTGAATGGAAAGGGCCAAAACAAACCGAGGAGAACAGAAACGAGAGCACCCGGTCCAAAGACCAGAACGGCTCAGGAGGTGCAGGAGTAGGCCGGAGGTAAAACAACGCACGAGACAGTTTGCGGAACGGGACAAAAGTAACATCAACACCGAAAGCAAATTGAAGCAGCTCCACCAGCGCCGTACAATACGAGGTGACAGTATTTGGTATAAAATGTCGGTCCTGGAACAACCAAGAGAGAAAGGACAAAACAACCTTATCAGAGACCGAAGAATACCTACGCAGTGATAGGAAGAACTGGAAGGACCGCCAGAAAACTTCATACTGTCGGCGAGACGAAGCACGCAGGTGGGTGACAAACAACGAAGCCACCTGCACACCATACAAGTGTTGACAAACTCGAGTCAAAAACTCCAGACGCGATGACTCGAGGAGAAGACCGAACCAGCCTTTTCCAGAGCCAGAAGCACAGACTTCCCCAGAATCGCATCAGCCAAGAACTGTAGGTTGGGTTGCCAGCGCAAGGGTCTGGGGCTCCCCCTTCCCCCTCCCAGGGAGGGGGGGGGGGTTGCGCAGACGGCGGTGCAGCAACATAATGACATCATGCTTGTTTGCTAATTTTCGTTTGGGGAGTTCTGGCCACTCGTTTGGCTTTCAGTAGCAATAGTTTCACAAGAAAAGGGGTTTGTTTTGGGGCGCCTACTTTTCTGGGTGTCTGTCCTGGTCGATGGCCGACATAGAATCCCAAGCACAGGGGAGGTTTCTATAGGCCACTGCTCCTCATGCCTCTCTGAAGGGGGCCAGGTTCTGGCTCGTGGTCCCTGGTAGGCAAGAACTCCATGCACATTGATGCCAGAAAGTTATACATATCCATTCAGCCTGGATAGCTCCGGGAAGCCGACATGGCTTCCCCAGAAAAATTATACACTTGACTAATGAATATGTGGTTTGGTATCACCCAATATAGCTGTGGAATTCATGGCTTGTACCTGTCTGGTGGAGTTGATGTGTTTTCTTGGTACACAGGAAGGGTTTATTGTACCATTATAGTTATAATTTGCTTCTGTAATTTATTCTGCATTTCCTGGCTTGTAGGCTATTTGTCCTCCCACTTTTCTGCCATCTTCTTTTCCAAGGTGGTGGTGGTTTGGGTGTTAGATTTGGCATATGTGACTTTCCAACCATTTTGCTAGGCGTTTCTGTTGAAGGCACTCCACCTGCATGTAAACATGGGTGTGATCATCACTTGGGAGTTCTTGGATGAAAGACCTCTCCTCTTTCCTGCTGATTTTGGGAGGGAAAGGTCTCCACATGCTACTGGAAGACATCATCAGGTTCACTATTGCTGTCCATCAGCCCTTTTGTACTCACCTAATTGTGCTTGCAGGGGGTTGAGCACTGGCTCTTTGGTCCCGCCTCTCAACCGTCAATCAACTGATGTACAGATTCCTAAGCCTACTGGGCTCTGTCATATCTACATTTGATATCTACCATCACTTCCTAGTGCATTCCATTTACTAAATACTCTGACACTGAAAAAAGTTCTTTCTAATGTCTCTGTGGCTCATTTGGGTACTCAGCTTCCACCTGTGTGCCCTTGTGCGTGTGCCACCCGTGTTAAATAATCCATCCACCTTGTCAATTCCCCTGAGAATGTTTTGTCCAGTGACAGCGTAATCAGGGTCCATGCCTTAACCTGTCAACTTGTCACCCAAGGTGTTTGGCACTTCTTTATTCAATGGTCCTTTACAAGTGTCCCTGAGTTCTATGCAGCCATTTCTTCCACCACCCTACACTCACATTTACAAAATGCTTGGCAGGGACATGATTTCTTTGACTTGGTCATTATGAGGTCGTTTAATTTGTTCCCTGAAAATCAAGGGCAACATTCTCAGCCCTAATGAATCCTTAATTTGTAAAGGATCAATGCGTATGTTCCTTGCCTTTCATTCCAGATGACCACCATGACTGTAGTTCGACAGGTGGTGTTGGGTCAGTCTTAGCTCATCTCCTCTGAATCTCATAGATGCTTATTAGCATGTTCTTATATATCTGAGGTTTAGAATTTTCCGAGAATTTTGAGTTGGTCACACCTCTTACTACTTTTGGGTTCAACCAAACATCCAAAATGTTTACCAGGCTAAGCTTCAGGAGCTTCAGCTCTTGGGGAGTTCTGTCCTGGCCTGCCTCAATGACTAAATGATCTGGGCATCCATTTGGCAGTCTTGCCTGTTGACCAGAGATATGGAGTGCAGGTGCTGGACCACTTCAGGTTCTTGTAAATCTTTCAAAGTCCCAGCTCTCTTCCATTGTGTGGCTTTGGGCTGCCTCTCATCATCTTGACTTCTCTTTCCATTCCAGCACCTGGATTTTCAGCTACAGTTTTCATCATTCCTCAGTCCTTCTACTTTGTGGTGCTGGCTCTGGTAAATTCAGTACTATATTTTTGTGCATTTTCTGAGATTTCCCCCTTGGGAACTGGCTTGGGAGAAACCAAGTGAGCCTTGCTCAGACATAATGCATTAAGTGATATAAAACACTTTTCTGTGGGGAGCCCTGTCGGCTCCCTGAAGCTATCCGAACTGATATGTGCTATATTAGTTTGGGGTCATCAGTCAAAGGAGTCCTTATACCTACCAGGAACCATGAGCCAGAACCTGGCTTCTTCAGAGGCACAGGGAGCAATGGCCTACGAGCACAATCTGGTGCGACCTACATCCGAACATAGCAGAATTATTCTCACAGAAAAAAACAAAGAAGCAACACTTCATCCAACTAGCACTCCGCTCATTAGCGCTATCCCCCCCCCCAGAAGGGGGGGGCTACCTCAGGTGAGCTGGCCTTCTTGAACTGAAGTGCTGGGGTCAGCTCGGCCACCTCTGGCGTCAAGTTTCTGTTCAGGATTTTGCCTGTGTGGCTGTACCAGCTGTGTGTACTCACCTAGTTGTGCTTGCGGGGGTTGAGCTCTGGCTCTTTGATCCCGCCTCTTAGCTGTGAATCATTTGATGTACAGATTCCTGAGCCTACTGGGCTCTATCATATCTACATTTGAAACTGTGTATGGAGTCAGCCTCCACCACAGCACTGCCTAATGAATTCCATCTGTTAACTACTCTGACACGGAAAAAGTTCTTTCTAACGTCCCTGTGGCTCATTTGGGTACTCAATCTCCACCTGTGTCCCCTTGTTCGCGTACCACCCTTGTTAAACAGTTTATCCTTATCTGCCCCCGTCAATTCCTCTGAGAATTTTGAAGGTAGTGCTCATGTCTCCCCTTACTCTTCTGTCTTCCAGTGTCATAAGGTGCATTTCACACAGCCTTTCTGCATACCTCGTGCCTCTTAGTTCTAGGACTAGCCTAGTGGCATACCTCTGAACTTTTTCCAGCTTCATATTGCGCTTGACAAGGTACGGGCTCCATGCTGGGGCCACATACTCGAGGATTGGTCTTACATATGTGGTATACAAGGTTCTGAAAGATTCCTTACACAGGTTTCTGAAATCAGTCCTGATGTTAGCCAGCCTCACATACGCCACAGATGTCATTCTTTTTATGTGTGTTTCAGGAGACAAGTTTGGTGTGATATCAACTCCTAGATCTTTCTCTCTGTCCTTTTCGTGAAGGACTTCATCTCCCATTCTG